CTGCAGAATACTCGATTACTAAAATAATCGATAGCTACAGCCCTAGTACAAATTTTGTCAATTTGTTAAAAACAGGTGTGAGAACAAGACTCTGTAAGGCAGGTTTTGTGTACAATCTATTCTAAATAGTATGCGTGATTTAGAAATTATATGTATCTCGAGTTTTTTAAGTTTGCATACTTTTTGGCTAATATATCACGTTCTCTTGCATAGTGTTGAATGTAAGGTCAAGGCTCCCACAGTAAATAAAACTACTCCAGTAAAGTACAGATACTTGAAAAATGTACTTAAGTACAGTAACGAAGTAAAACTACTTTGTTACTGTCCACCACTGATAAAACTGTGCTAATGCGTCTCTTGTAGCAAAATAACTAGTTTTATATTCTGAATAAGGTTCTGTTGCATTTCAGAGCACAATGTTAGGTGATATCATGCTTTTGAAGATAGAAGGACTTGTGTAGAGAATGTTTTGTGTCTAATCTCAATGTGGATGTGATTTGACTTTGAACTCATGTCTTTCTCTTTCCAGGGATCACTTTACCCTCTGCATTCTCTGCCTTCTACTTCCTTCTCTTTATTGGAGTGTGCACATGGTGGGCTTGCCACTTTCCCATCAGCCATCTGGGATTTAATGCATTGTGCGTGATGGTGGCCTTCTTCACATGGGGGCACCTGGTGTGTCTTTACCTGTATCAAAGCTCATTTGCGCAAGACATGTTCTCCCCAGCGGGCCTGTGGGCCAGGTATTGTTGTTCATTGCTCTCAATTCTCTTTACATTCGCTGTACTGTACATTCAGTGTGTCTGTGACTTTGTGGCATCATTTTTACTGTCCTGTTATTTGGAAGATTACTCTGATTTGTTGAAGTAGTATGTGTACCTAGTTCAACATCCTTATTTGTCCTCGAACAACATTCCTGTAAACCAATGAGGCTGGTTAATGTGATTTTTCGAAGTAGGACAACATCGACACCATTTCTTGGATCAACATCTTTTGTTGGTTCTGGGACAACACTGCTATCAAACAATACAGTTTGAGTTAGGATTAAGCTTAAGGCTGGGTTTGGAACCATCGAATTAATGGTTAGGGTTGAGGTTGGGACTTCTTGACAGGAATCTTGTGCCAGGACCAACAAAAGAATGTTGATCCAGGAAAATGTTCTACTTGGCAAAATCACAGTGACCATTATTGGTAGTACCACCAAGAAAGTACTGTGGCGGTATTATGGTGCAATGATGGCATTACATTTTAATACCTTGGTACTTTGATTTGAACCTTGGTACTCTAAAATGCGAGCATTTATATAATATCATGTTTACATTGTTCTCTAATGTGCTTCAAGCGGTCGCACACCGGACGAGAAGCGCAGCGCCGCATAGCATCGCAGCACGTCTTTAAAATTCGAACATATTGTTTTCTATGAGTGTACGCACACCGGCGGCGCCGTTTGGCATCTGTCCGTGGCGCCCAGCTACGTAGTGTTGTACTTGTTTTACGAATTGTTCTAGACGCGGCGCGGCACGGTGCGACCGCCTTCAGACAATAGGGTAAGATGAGAGATGATGCCCCTCTTAAGAATATTTACATTTAAATTGTTTTTATTTAGATATAATTTTAGCTTGTACAGAATGATGATGCATCAGCCAGTGTGTTATTAAGACTGTGTGTCCACCAAAGTGTTTTTAGCCAGCTGAAAACGCCAGGCGCTCTGCTGAATAAGACATACAAAGAATATTCAAATTGAATGATTTCTATCAGTTAGCCTGTGGGTTTTAATGAATAGCTCAAATGTCTGAAATGTATACTACCATTCCAAAGGTTTAGTAGATTTTTTTTTCTCTTATGCTTATCGAGGCTGCATTTATTTGATCAAAAAATACAGTAAACACAGTAATTTTGTGGAATATTATTACAATGCATACATTAAAAAATTATTTATTCCGGTGGTGACAGCTCAATTTTCATCAGCCATTACTACAGTCTTCACTGTCACGTAATCCTTCAGAAATCATTCTAATATGCTGATTTGGAAACAGTTGTGCTGCTTAATATTTTTTTTCAGGTTTCTTTGATGAAAAAACATCATTTATTCGTATATTTGTAGCAATGTAAGTCTTTATTATCCCTTTTTATCAATTTAACATATCCTTGCTGAATAATTGTATGAATTTCTTTTAAAGAAAAAAAAATGTACTGGCCACTACCCTTTGATTGGTAGTGTATATTGCTACAGATTTCTGTCCAGTTTTATTTTAGTATCACTGAGCTACTGTTATAGTTATTATAGTTTATTAATGTTTTGAATTGTTTTATTTCAGTTAATGTTTATCTTTATTTCTCAGTAAACTTTTAAAGTTACTGTTCATATAAAAGTATAATTACTTGCATTCAAAACAGGATTTCAAGCTTCTTCCCCATCGTATGTTCATTACATGAGGGTTGTGTTAAGGCAGAGTGTGATGTAAATGTGAGAGTCATTGCTGGTCTAATATAGAGCCTCAGCCTGGCGAGGTGAAGGTGGTGTATCCTGCCAGCCTTGCATAACCCACTGAAAAGCAACACTGAGACTTAAGCCTTAGATATGTTTCTGGAGAGTGACACCCACACTTACTGGACATAAAACCTGGCTTGGTGAGGTTGCCAGCTCTGTGCATTGTTCATGACACATAAATCTCTGCTGACCTCTGTGCTGTTGCAGATAACTGTCACAGTGAGATAAAACAAAATTCTGCTATACATCATTGTCCTAAACATGTCACATACAAAATGTCTCATGCACACTGCTGTCAGATTAAGAGTATTAGTGGTGTTTGCTAAGGCAACATACTTAAATTTGAACAAACCTAAGCCTAACTCACCCCACATTGCGTGTGCTGCAACATAAATGATAGCTTGTGTCATAATATGCTTTTGGTATTTCATTTAGTGGAAGATATACCTGGTGAAAAATTCCTAAGACTTACACTGAAAGATTACACTACCTGTCAAACTTTTGGACTAATGAAGATTTTTTTGACGTTTTGGAAATACAGTCCCTTTTGCTCACTAAGGCCGGGTATAGACTATGCAATTTTCGTCTGATTTTGAGCCTGCAATTTACTTGTATAGTGATCTTGAGCATGCAATTTACTCGTACAGTGAAAGTTGGTATTTAACAAAAACGTTGCTGAAATTGCACCGTGTATGCCCTGCCTTAGGCTGCATTTATTTGATCAAAAGAACGGTAAAAATATTAGTATTGTGAAATATTATAACAATTTAAAAGAACTGTTTTCTATTTTAATGTATATTAAAATGTAGTTTATTGCTGTGATGGCACATTTTCAGCAGCCATTATTCCAGTCTTCAGTGTCACGTGATCCTTCAGAAATCATTTTAATATGCTGATTTGATGCTTGGCTATTATCAGTTATTATTGGTGTTCAATTATTAATAATGGTTCTAATTATTATCAGTGTTGAAAGCAGTTTTTGCTGCTTAATTATTGAAATAGAAAAAAATGTGTAACATTATAAAAGTATTTGATGTCACTTTTAATCAATTTAATGCATCCTTGCTGAATAAATGTATACTGTTTTTTTTTTTTTTATTCTTACCCCAAACTTTTGAATTGCAGTGCATCATGGTTTTCAACGGATTTCAACATGGATAATAATAATAAATGTTTCTTGAGCACCAAATCAGCATATTAGAATGATTTCTGAAGGATCATGTGACACTGAAGACTGGAGTAATGATGCTGAAAATCAGCTTTACCATTACAGGAATAAATTATATTTGAAAATAGATTTTTTTTTAAATAGATGAAATAGAAAACAGTTAATTTAAATTGTAATCATATGCCACAATATTACAGTTTTTACTGTATTTTTGATCAAATAAATGCAGCTTTGCTTAGCATACGACTTTAAAAAACATTTTAAAAAATCACAATTCAAAGCTTTTGACCCATAGTGGATAAACGAAGATGGTTCACACATATTACTCAGAATGAGAGAAAGCGCAACATGCAATATGTCTTATTAAGTCCTGCCATCTAAATAAATGAACCAGTAACCAATTGGTGGTGGACCAACCTATATATGCTTTTTTAACACTATAAGAGACAAAATTTATGCAAAGTTCATGTTATATTTTCTTGCTAATTTGAAATATAGGTTTAAAAATAGGTTTTGCATGCCTGAAATAACTGCCCGGAGGCGTTGTGAATACGTCCACCGAGTGAACTAACTTTCCTTGAAAGGGAATTGGGTCATATATGTAGCGACCAGAGTATCACAAAAACTTAAAGGTTGCATGCACCCCTCACATTTTCTTCAGAAAACTGAATATCTGAAGTTTTAATTTCTCTTTTTTTTTTTTTTTTGCTTTAGACTATTTGGTCTGAAGGATATAATAAAGCCTGGAAACTGTTCTTCTTTTGACATCACCTTCAACATGGAGCATGACTGGCCAGTGTACGTCAATCCTGGCATTCTTCTCCTCTTGTACATCTCTGTGACTATTGTGCTGAAAATCAACAGTTACAGTCATGGCCACACGGACCAGGTGCTTTCACACATTCGCTTGTTCAATTAAAGGGATTATTCGCCCAAAAATGACAATTCTGTCATCTTTACCTTAAGTTGCTCACATCCTGTGTGTGTGAATGAGCAGAAAGTTCATGCTGTTTTCCAAACAGTGGATGTCAAGCTTAAAAAGGGCATCATATTCCAATGTGTCTAAAGCTATTCACTGAATTTAATGACTTTTTTTGGCTGAACTATCCTTTTAAAGCTCCTTGTACTGGATGTCATGTACAGTAAAACCCAGACACATTACATTTGTACCCTTGTAAGCCACTGAGTAACATTTGACTAATTGTTTGTGTGCAATAATGGAGTTTGGGTTAGTTGGTGATATATTATCATTATCATTTCATATATTAACTGATGTAATGTCTTTGTGTTTGTGGAGACCGATGAGGGTGGAGCAGTTGAAGCAGTACAGGGTGAGGCTGGAGAGGAAGTGGAGCTCAGGCCATGGGAGGCAAGGAGACATAGTAATGAAGATGACACTAAGGTAAGGATTAAATCACTATGGTTACATTCACCTACAGATATATTAGTTTAGTCTCAACTACATAATTTTACCAACATAAGTATTTCATTTTTGTTCACATGCTGAAACAAAGATTCTTTACAAACTTTGCCTATGATTTCCTACCTACTCTACCTACAACACAAAACTGACCGACTTGAACTAAGACAATCCAACATAAAAAAACATATCCTGGACAAGCCCCAAATTTTTTATTAAAACCAAGCAAATTTACTCACATCTTTATTCCAAATCAAATGGGAGTACAGTGTGTTAAACTGCAGTGCTGAGTACAAAAAAAAAAGATGATGATGATAAAAATAATAAAATCCCAAAACAGCTTGTATGCCCATGTCTATGACAACTTTTAGTAATCAGAATGCAGAAGTGGTGCAGAAGCAGCATGGACTCATTGTGCTTTCACATAGGATGTGTTTGCAGTCCGCTACTGATCCACGGCTGTATACCACAAATACAACATTTTCCATGATTTTAATTTCAAATCCAAACGTTGTTAATGCTTTTTCAGCATTGTGACACTCTTTTTGCACAGTACAGTAGTACAATCTTTCATAGACATATTTAAGTTTAAATGCAATAAATATAAACAACATATTATTCAATGCATTTTACTTCTAGATTTATATATTAAGTTGCCCAAGCATGTGGCAAAATGTTTAAACACAGCCTATAGCCTACTTTTCTTATGTTTAAAGGTAGTAGGCTATCACAAACATTTTAAATTAAAACCAGACAGAAACAGTCGCCTCTTGTGCCTTTTCTTTTGCATTTAAATCTTTATTACAAGCAATTAAACAACTACATTCTCGCCTAAAAACTACATTCTCTGACACAACAACAGTAATATTTGTAAAATTATAGTGTATGTTTTGCTCATCTGCTGTGACGCTCATGCCTGTTTCACACATACTCCGTCTGCAGTGCGTATGCAGTCCATGTGCGTTACGTCTGTGGTGCAGAAGCAGCACGGATTCATTGTGCTTTCACACAGGACACGTTTGCAGTCTGCTACTGATCCACAGCTGCTTACCATAAACACAACATTTATCTATTATATTGATTTCAAATCCAAACATTGTTACTGAAAATGCTTTTTCAGCATTGTAAGTCTCTTTTTACACAGTACAGTAATTTCATAGACGTAGCACGTTTAAACGCAATAAATATAAACAATGTATTATTCAACGCGTTTACTTATAGATTTGTATATTAAGTTGCTCAAGCAAGTATAATGTAGCCTATACTCTACTTTCCTTTTGTTTAAAGGTAGTAGGCTATCACAAACATTTTAAATTAAAACCACTGACAGAAACAGTCGCCTCTCGTGCCTTTTCTTTTGCATTTAAATCTTTATTACAAGCAATCCCGCGGGTCATAAAGAACTTTGTTTTTCTACCTCCACGAGTGCCATCTATTATGTTGTCTTGTTTATATAAAAGTGAATTTTTCCTTGCTTTAAACCTAGCCAAAAAGCCTTCTGTTGACTGTGATACACAGTAGACTTTAGTTATATGCATTTATGGTGTAATTACTACATTTTCGTGTCAATCCATGTTCATTTTTACCGCGAACAATGCGCAGTGACTTTAATTCCATACACATACAGTACATTACTTAATTGCTCAGTCAATACTATGTGTGAGTGTTAATATGTTAAAATGAAAATTCTGTCATAATTTCTAACTTCTGTGTAACATAATAGAAGATATTTTGAAGAATATTTTGAGTTTTGGTTCCATGCAATGGATTTCTTTCCATATATTTGGAAAACAATGGGGACCAAACCTGTTTGTTTACCAGCATTATTCAAAATATCTTCTATTATGTTCTATAGAAGAAAGTCATACAAGTTTTGGAACTGTGCCTTGAGTGAACTATCCCTTTAAAAGCAGGGAATATGTGGTCCTGCTGAACATTCTCACCACCTTTTACCTGATAACACATAATGATGTGGAATGAATATTTGATTAATTAATAAAGGAATAAAAATCTGATTCATTACTTATCAAAATAAGTGTCAACCCTTGTGTGAAACCATTGTGTTTTTTTGGTTTGTCTGGTTTAGCAAACGCTTCTCACCACGGGAGAGTCACCGCTGTCTGAATCACAAATCTCTAAAGAACCTGTGACCAACGGTTCAAGTCAACATGACATAGGTAGGGCAATGTACATTGTGCATTTACACTTACAGAAGATACCAGTTCACCTTGAAGTCTATATGTATGTTTCTGAGCTTGTGATGTTTGTTTGTGCAGGGCCCAGTGGAGAGGCTGCAGCTGATAATCCTCTTCACCTGGTGGGACGAATGATCTTGCAACAAAGTTACATTTGTGCCCTCATAGCTATGATGGTAAAACAAATATTCTCTTCTGTCTACTATCTATAGATGTTAAGTTTTGTGCTGATTCATTGTCTGAACAATAACTTACACCTGAATAATGACAAAGAGGAATTAAAAAGTAAAAAAATGAAGAGTTACAAAAAAGTGCAGCAATTATATCATATTTTTGTAGGCCAACCCGGAAGTTAATATCACCCTAGTTCTATTGACAAAAACCAAATTGGCTTTTGGATTACTGCAGAAAATAAGCTTTGTGACCAACAAAAGTGTATGACTGCAAGTTTTGTTCAGCATGATCATATTTAAAAATGAACACAACTTAAATGAATTTTGAAGGTTTTGAAGAATTGCCAGAAGTAAAAAGCTAAACGTAGGCTACAGTATAAACAAACTTTACCACGGCACGGTCACATTACTTCAATGCCACCATCACTGAGCTTCTGACAACTCTTTCAGTCTTCATAAAAAAAAAAAAACAATAGCATTTTCCCTGAAAGTTTGAGTTAGAATAGTTTGCAAGAGTGTGAGTAAAAGCAGTGACTTCAGAACGATGGAACTTGAAGTGATGAAATACTTAATAATTTCTGGGTTTTGGTCTACAAAATATGTCATTCCTGCAGCACGCTATAGTAGCATTATTATTTGGACTCATTTTACCTGACCAAATAGACACTGGGCAGCCAGCGCCCCATGTGCAGTTCCTCCCATTTCCATTATATTCATTTCCATTCCTTTCTATATCAAAACAATCTTCCAGAATATGTTTTTGATGTGTGTGATGAATGTGTATTTGTATTCTTGTCCCCCTGCAGGTGTGGAGTATAACATACCATAGTTGGCTGACGTTTGTGCTGCTGCTGTGGTCATGTGTGATCTGGATGCTGCGGGCACGTCAACACTTTGCCACTCTTTGCTCTCCCTTCATCCTGCTGTATGGCTTGGCACTTTGCTGCCTGCAGTATGTGTGGGCCCTGGACCTAGAAACGGAACTGCCCCAGCACATTGGCACCATGAGCCTGCACCAGCTGGGTTTGGACCGAGCACAGTACCCCTGTTTGCGCTTGGGAGCCACGGTGAGGACCGTGAAGCTCTGGCAAATGTATTTTTTTTTTGAATGACTGCCATTATCATGTAATACAAGTTGATATTGAATAATAATAAGTTGATATTTAAATAGAAAACTTTCTGGGTTCAATAGATGTTAGCTCAATCAAACATTTACAGTGTAAATTAACAATGTTAATTACCATGAAAATTCATTTTTACTTGACCTTCCTTTTCTTTTAATAAAAAGGGAAAAAAAAGGATTACAGTGAGGAACTTACAGTGGAAGTGAATGGGGCCTATACGTTAACAATAAAGTTCTCGCTGGTTCAATAGTATAGCCACAAGACATAAACCATACAAGCTGTATACAATTTTGCAGCATCATGTCCATAGCAGTATTGTAGCTAAAACTCTAAAATGACTGTGAAATTACAGAGAAATTGAAGACAGACTAGACTCAATCTCACATCTACCACATTAAGGCTCTGGCATATGTGCCAACCATAAAGCCATGACATTTAAGAACGTAATATTCACTTCAGGTTCAGGAAATTAAATCAGTAATCACTGTTTATTAATCATGATTTTTAAAGAAGAGGTACAGTGAAACACTTACAGTGGAAGTGAATGGGCCCAATAAGGAAAATTCTATAAAATTCTCACTGGTTCAGTAGTATAGCCACAAGACAAATAAACAATATGCGTTTAAAGGGGATATAACACACACAGTTTATGCCAATCTCATGTTAATCTTGAGTACTTATAGAGTAGTATTGCATCCTTCATATCTCCGAAGAGTCTTTAGTTTCATCAGATTTATAAAAGACAGATACAGCTTTACGCTTCTCTCAGAAAACAGTCGAGCTCCTGGAGGCGTGCCGTGGGCGGAGCTAAAGAGTCACAAAGCTTTTGTGTAACGATCAAACACGATTGTGTAATGGCTGTGAGATCGACATACATAAAACAGGAACAAAAACTTTATTGACTTAAATTTGATTTAATTTGTTTATAAAACATTAGTCATCGAAATGCCGGGAACAAACAAACACACTTGCATAATTCGTTGATGGGCTGCTCTTGCTCTGGTTGATGTGCGCACACTCTTCTGGGAGAAGTGCCCATACAAGGAATTCCGCCCTTTGCGATGTCATGAAGGGTCATACTCAAAAAAAAAAAAAAAAACCTTCCGAAACTTATACAAACCTGAAGGAGTGTATTTGGCACCAAAATACTCTGTCATACTGTATGTCCAACTTGTTTTTTGAAACTTTGGCAACGTTTATGATGAGAATCCAACTCTTTAACAGTGACTTTAAGTCATAATGCATGAAATAGCATTAGACCTCCCCTTTAACATGTTTTAAAACATGATATAGTTTTAAAAATCGCTCAATCTTTTCTGTGTAAAGTTGCATACAATTTTGCAATGCTGTTTTCATGCAATACTGTTTTCATAAAATGACTGTAAAAACTGATGAAAACAACTTTATATCTCAAACTGTTAACAGATGAATTGTTGTGAATTTATAAAATCATAAACTTCACATTTCTGCATTTTAAATCCTCCAAAAATTGGCCCCATTCATTTCCATTGTAAGTGCCTCACACTTTTTTTTATTTTCATTGAATTTAAGAAAACAAGGGAGAAGTTGAAATAGTTTTTTTGTGGATAGTCAACATTACACCACAAATGCTGTCAAGCTTGACTTGAATTGTATTGAACCTAGAATGTTCCTTTAAGACAGTGTTTCCCAGCCCTGTTCCTGAAGGCACACCAACAGTACACATTTTCAAAATCGTCCTACTCAAACACACCTAATTCAACTCATTAGCTTCTTAGTGGCGACTCCAAGACCTGAAATGGATAGGTCAGAAAAGGTAGAATGTGTTTTGTTGGTGTGCCTGCAGGGACAGAGTTGGGAAGCACTGCTTCCAGTTAAGACTGCACAATGTTTCTGTATAAAATTCAAATTCTAAATGGCTTCATGTATTGAGATACAGATGGCTGCAATAAACCTTGAAGACTGTGAGAAATGTAGCTAGGAAAACTTGCTACATCTTTACACAATCCAACTACACGTAAACTACATGATCAGTCATAATTCTCATGATGTTTCATAATACACTGAGGAAAGTGTAAATATTCCTTCACTCTTTTCTCTTTGCTCTCAGCTGCTTTTCACGTTGACATTTTGGCTTTTGCTGAGACAGTCGGTAAAGGACATGTTCAGCAGGAAGAAGAGAGTGACTGCACCATTGCAGGAGGTCACCACTGGAGGTGAGCGAGAGCAATACAATCTAAAGAGACAATTGCATTTGCTTTTGTGCCGTTTTGTTGATAGATCAAATACAGAGAGTACAGGAAGTGATGGTGGGGCTGGGGTCAAAACACAACAAGGACCAGACTCAAACTCAAATCTACCACATGAACACCCTGCCATTTGTCTGGAACAAGAGTACTAACTACAAAGCCATGATGTATAAGAAAAAAATATTTATTTCTGATTCATTCAGGAAGTTCAGGAAATTAAACCATTAATCACTGTCTATTAGTCATCATCAAAGCATTCGTAATTCCCTGTCTGCTCCACTTCATCTATTCTTCTCATTTCTTTCTCACACTCTACAGTGTATTAAAAGAGAAAAGAACTAGGCTTGCTGCAGTAGTCTATGTTACCGGAATTACCTGGTGTTCTGCTGTACACCGAATATATTACTTGCCCACCGTGGTACTGCCCCCACTGTCGTTTTGCTTTTTTATAAAATTAAAAACAGTTTAGTTCAGTTGGACAGTGGACGCTACAGTTGTAAATTGAAAGCGTCTGCTCTGCTCCATACAGCATGTGCCGCAGAAGTCAGGTTTCGCTTATCGCATGAAGAAAGTAAATGCTGGATTATTATCACGCGCAGCTCGAATACTGCGGTAATGATGGCAGAGGATTTGGTTTTCAAGTGAAATGCAAAAGTAAAGTAAAAGGCCGCTTCTTAAACCAGAGAAGGTGAACATGTTGGTTTTCTTGGCAAAAACATGCACTGTCACCGACAGCCAATTGAGTTTTCATATTCTGTTTTAATTTTGAAAAGCCTGTTGACTTTTGCTGTTTACCTGATGTTACACTACATTGTCAGAGGATTTTTTATTTATTTGATTCCACAGTGTTTGCAAAACTTTCTGTAATTTCCTAGTCGATAATGTAATACAGTACAGCATGTGGTAAAAGCCGTGCCTCATCTTTTTCGTTTTTGTTAATAAACATTATATAAGATAGTTTGTCATTGTACTGTTTTATTGTAGTTGTGTTTTTTATTGAGAATAATAATGAATCCATCTTTCAAGCATTCGTTTTAGTCTTAGAAAGTAAAAGGTGTAAAGATGTAAGAGCAACAAAAAATGATCTTTTCTTGTAAAATGTGATGCCAAGATCGTGAATTCGAAAGTGTCCAAAGCCCTGCTGTTTTGTCATAAGTATATATACCAGGTGAAAATTTCCTCACTGTGCCATTCCTAAAAAGAAAATTTTTAAATTGGAATAAACATATTCCAATAATTTTTTAATTATTAATTAATTTGTAGATAGTTTATGCTGCTCTTTTCCAAAAAAGGGCAAAAAAAAGGAGACTGAGACAGTTGAGCTGTTATGACAAAAAAAAAAAAACACTTAAGTACTATAAAATTAGGCCATTATATACAAAGTCATCTGAGTAACTATAACCATTTTTGCTTTTCTACCATGCATTTGAGTGGTTGAACTCTTCTTATTTTGGTTTTGGGTTTCACATTTCACCACAAATAGTGAAGTTTGAGAGTCTTTTCTCTCTCTCTCTCTCTCTCTCTCTCCTCATTTCACCAGATAGTGTAGTTTGAGTGTTTTTTTTTCTCTTTCTCTTTCAGAGAGCACAGGTCGAAATGAGTCGATTTTGAAGGTGTTTGGTGGGCTGGTGATGAGTCTGTACGCTAAGTACTGGATCTACGTGTGTGGAGGCATGTTCATCATGGTCAGCTTTGCAGGAAAGCTTGTAGCCTACAAGATCATCTACATGCTGCTATTTCTGCTCTGCCTGTGTCTGTATCAGGTACAATTTTACCAGCCCACATATGAAATGTAATTTTCTCCACTAAATTTAGTCATAAAATTGAGTGAAAAACCTCTCTGTCCTTAGGTGTACTATTCTCTCTGGAGGAGGTTGCTAAAGGCCTTCTGGTGGATGGTGGTGGCCTACACCATGGTGGTGCTCATTGCTATTTACACCTTTCAGTTTGAGGACTTTCCAGGCTATTGGGGAAACTTCACTGGATTCACAGAACAACAGTATGTCCCCTGGTTTAGTGTTTACTATTTGTAAGTGTTTCAGAGGATATATGAAAAGAAGGACATTGATGTCATTCCAAACCCATGTTCATTTATGTATTTGTGGAACACAAAAGGAGACATTTATTTGAATGTTCCTGCTGCTCTTTTCAACACAATTAAAGTAAATGAGTGTGGGACCTTTAAGATTCAGAAGAGCTGGAAAAAAAGCTTGTTTTTATGTTCTATGGAAAGTCTTATGGGTTTGGAATGTTATATGGGCGAGTAAGTGGTTGGAATTTTCATTTTTAGGTACATTACTTGTGATAATTGCATATGGTTCTCCATCTTTAGGTTGACTGACATGGGACTGGAGACGTTTAAACTATCTGAGCTCTTCAGCAGTATCCTGATCCCAGGCTTCTTCCTGTTGGCCTGTATTCTACAGCTTCACTACTTCCATAAGCCCTTCATGAAGATCACAGATCTGGAGAATGTTTTCAGAGAGTTAAACGACTTGGCACAAGCTGATTGGTTCATGCTGCATATGCAGCCAATGAGCTTACTGCCTTGCCATTTATATGGCTGGCTAGCATTCACTAGAGATTCCTGCAGCGGGCTTTCAGAGTTTCTCTGAAACCCTCCACCTTCCCCAGCTCCACCTGTATAGATCTGCTACGGGTTATTTTATATGCTATTTGTGCAGCAGCAGTATTTCTTAATACTCACAGCACCGATAGCAGATCTATTCCGCCAAGACCAAATACATTAACATTGTCATATCCATCACCATGCTAAAATCTTCCGAGAGTTTTCATGATTAAAATACATATTTTAAGTGATTGGCAGCCCTAGATTACACTTTATTTTAAGGTGTACTTGTTACAATGTAATTAAACAATTAAGTACTGAGTAATATTAATGAACTACGTGTACTTATTTAGAGATGTCACAAAGTGAATTTTTGACTGTACAATTATTGCCTGATTAATTATTACCTGTTATGATCAATTATTATTTTTTACGCAACAACAAAACATATTACAATTTTTATTGCAGTATTTGGGATTATATAAATTTGTTTGATGATCTGAAACATTAAAGTGTGACAAACATGCAAAAAAATAAGAAATCAGGAAGGGAGCCAACACTTTTTCACACCACTGTAAATGCATTTATTTTTAATGCAACAACAAACTATATACATTCAAACATTTTATTACAACATTTTAAATTTCCATTATATCTTGTGTAATTTTAGCCAAAAACAACTGTATTAAATTACAATATTACTATTTACTATGTGTAAATCTTAAAAATAGTCTGAAATATTTTTGAGTGTACTATACATTTTTATTTAGATGCATAGTTTAAACGAGTAAATGTCAGATGTGTAATTAAGATGTTAAAATGTATAATTTGGTGTAATATTTTTGCATTATTTTTGTTGCATCATTATTATTAGTGATGCATTGTTCATCTTTGTACTCATTTTTTCCACTTAAAAATAAAAAAAGCAGAGCAAGACTCTAGAAACAATTCAGAAATTAATACCTTGGTATTTCAAAGTCAGTTTTGATTGTGAGGTTTAAGCCATTATTCACAGGGTTTGGTTTAGGGTTAGTTGCATGTAATTATGCATAATAGACTGATAATACTATAGTGAATGTACACATAATGTGAAAAGGAAACTGTAAAATAAAGTTTTACCCAGCCCTATTATTAGAACATGTATTAAAAAAATTATAAATGTATATTTTGATACAAAAATGTGTGATTTTTTAAATCTGATGCATTCCCAGGGGATTAATGATGAGAAATATTTGAAGGGGATTTCCCGTGAGAAATATTTGAGATATTTAAGATATATGACTTGTGATTTTTCTTTTCTATTGAATTATTTTATTTAATTTTTTTGATTATCACTGACAGTGCAGTTGTTGATTTCCCCCACAGGAAGAGAGGTATAGAGAATCCGGATTTGGTTCGATCCACAGAGGAAGTAAGATTTGAGGAGGAAGATCTCATTACAGAGCAGGGTGATGATCCATCAGAGGTTGATGGTGAGAGTAATAAATGCTGCTTCTGTGCTGGTGTAGCTCAATGAAAGGAATTTTATACTTAATATTGGCCAATACCCATATGATCCTCAACATACACCTCTAATTTTAGTGTCCGTTCTTACTTTGTTTTCAGAGGCAATACCCAGCAAGTGGGGACTGGTGATGGACAGACTAATGGTGCTGTCAATGAAGTTTTCTGACACTTTGACCCATGTCCAGAGTTTCATTTGGAGAGTATTGGAACTGCACATCGTCAAAATTGTGGCTTTTTTTGTTGTCTGGGTGGCACTATTGGAGGTCTGCATACTGCATCATTTAGGCCATTTCATTATGTCAGTTTCATAACCTGTAGTTATTTATGTAGTTTCTCTGCACACCAGAGAAACAGCCATCTTCTTCTGCCTATCTAGTTATGAGGTGATATGTCAGTGTTTCACACTTCATTTGCCTTGTATTTACTTTCTTGTTTTCCCCCCTTCATTCATAGCCATCTGCAATGAACTTGGTCCTGGTGGTGCTGTGGAGTTTTGCCATGCCTTATGGCCGTTTCAGAGCAATGGCCTCCTGTCTCTCCACCATCTGGGTTTGTGTCATCATCGTCTGCAAGATGCTGTACCAGCTCAGTGTCGTCAACCCTGCGGAGTACTCCAACAACTGCACCGTGGTGAGACAGGACACCTAAACACGCATGCTTACAAACACACTTTATGCATTGTTAGTTGTAAAGTGTTTTCTAAGGTAAGCATCACTATTACTATTGCTTGTATGATTTGAACAAAACCTGAACTAATTTATTTTTTGCCATATGGGACTACATATGGGACTACTCAGAACAGCATAATATTATGACTTTTGAAATCAACACCGTCTCGCTCAGGATTTGTGGGATACTTGCTTCTCAGCACCCTGCTGGTTTCATAAACTTAGCACTAATTAAACAAATACGCTCAAGCGTGGATTAAGTTGATGTGTTTAGTCTTGCGTTTTATGGATGTTTGGAGAAAAAAAATGAATTGTATTTCTCAGGTGATTTACATACACTACGGTTTATCGCCATATAAATGGCTAAACTTTCCTCTTCAGAGTAATTAGTCTATTCTGCTGACAGGATTTTGCCTTGCAGCCTAAAAGATGTCAAGCAGACTTGAAATGTTCCTTGTGTTTCTCGCCAGTTTGTTTCTTTCCATTCCGTAATTGTGAAGTGTCCTAAACAGATTCAGCATGATGTAGCAAACAAGATATTATGTCGGTACATTTCACTTTCAGTGAGGACAGAAAAATACTATAACTGGTTTAGGCCACATTGTTTACATCTTTTCTCTCTGTATTGTAGCCAATGGTCAATGAGACCAGTCTAGAACTGGATGAAGTGCTGACCTCCACCCTGTATAAAGCACCTGTGGACCCAGCCAACTGGTTTGGTGTTAGGAAAGATGCTACTGTCCTCGGTTACACAAAGGTGAGATTCTGTTTCACCTTTCACATGAACAAAATCGAAAATATTTACTATGTTTGACCTGGAAGTATCTCTACATATGGCATTTTTTTGTTGTTGCCATTTTTATGCTCAAGTCTAAAATGTCACAATTTTGTAAGTGAAATCTCAATCTCTAAATTATTGAGAAAAGAAAAGAAAAAGTCAAGGAAATTAATCGGTCAAAAGTTGACCTTAATTTTTGACAGTTGATTATTTTCTTTTCTTTTTTCTTTTTTCCATCAAAAAATTGGGGGAAAAAATTTTGATTTTCAAGATAATAACTGGACACCACTTGATGAACTTAACATGCAAGGTCACTACATTACAGTTTGAGAAAGTAGTATTTTGTGTACTTTGTAGTATTCTATACTAAATAAACCCTGTGAGCCTGGAGATGATTTATATTATACAAGCTCACAAGAGGTATGGGTATTTTCGTGTCTTTGTTAATGTGACACATCATTTTACATTGTATATGGTCAAGGTTTTAATAAATTGCACACTAGCTCTGTGTTCTGTTCTATTAGGGTCATCTGCTGGTTTTGATGCTGCTTGTGTTTGAGGCAACAGTGTACCGGCACCAGATTCATCACTACAGACAACAGCAGTGCTCACCTCCCCCAATTCCAGTCATCTTTCCCCAGGCCACCCGTGACACACTGGACAAGGGTCTCCTCCACTGCATCAAATACCTGCTCAACTACAGCTTCTACAAGTTTGGCCTTGAAGTATGACATCCACCTAAACCAAAAACATCATAAATGCATGCTATTGGAAACTCATCAATCTCCAATTATTTTCAATAAGAATAATTTGAAATAAGTCCTTAAGGATCAGGGTGCATTACAGTAATGAGAAATTTATTTTATCTAGCAGTATTTATGTATATATATATATATATATATATATATATATATAAAATGGGTATAAAAAAGAATCACCCCCCTTTAAAATAATCACATTTTGTTGCTTTGCAGCCTGAAATGAAGACGTTCACAGCTTTTGTTTTATCCAACTGTATTTACTCAGTGCAACTTATAACATCCAAGTGAAAGATATAACACCAATATTTTAGAAAAAAAAACAAAAAAAAACAGAATCACTGATTTCACCCCTCCTAAAAGTGACTTTTAAACTCAATCAGGTGTAGCTAATCACCTTCTCAATGGCACACAAAGCTATTTGACTTTCAACTGTGATCAGCTGTGGTCATTTTGATTAGCTCAGCATGAAAAGAGCTTTCTTGGAGCATTTCAGTTCTTGGTAGTGCAACTGAAGCAAACAATCCACTATGGGTGGCAAGGCACTGCCAAAAGATCTCCGGGAGAAAGTTGTGGACAGGCACAAGTCAGGAGATGGATAAAAAAAAAATTAAAAGGCTTTATCGATTCCTAGAAGCACAGAGAAGTATATTATTAAGAAGTGGAATGTATTTGGTTTAACACAGACCCTCCCTGGATCAGGACGTCGCTCCAAACTGGATGAAAGGGCCTGTTTACACCTGGTCACATCATGCGTTTTTCTGATCGGATAGCTATCCGATCGTGAAAAGACCGGGTGTAAATGCGCTCAAAAAGGCTACGTTCACACTGTGAGCCTTAGTGCTCAATTCCGATTTTTTTTCTCAGATCCGATTTTTTTGTGTAGCTGTTCACATTGTTGTTTTAAACGTGGTCAATATCAGATTTCCAGTGTGAACAGATCATGATTCTGAACTGATCCGTATGCGCAAAAGAACGATATGAACAGGGTTTCCAGATTTTCACAACAAAATCCGCCCAATTCTTTCTCAAAACTAGTCCAAAACTAGCCCAATCATGTTCAGGAAAGTAAACATTGCATTAGTGGGGTCGCGTCAACCCATGAAGTTGAAAGACATCCCGCGGTAACAGAGGAAACAGTAGCCCAATTCCGCAGGGAAAATGTGGATTTGGCAACACTTGCGCAGCATGCTGTCATACGGAAGTAAACACGGAGAGAAATTATGCACAGGCAATATGAAAAAATAAAGACAAGGATGTGACAAAAGAAAGCAGAGTTTTGAAACTTTTATGATATGATCCCTCATGTTTTACTTGTATAGTTGTCACTGTAATACACATGAGTTCTGACACATCACACTTCCATTGATTACCTTTCGCTACTGTCTTGATAACTTTGGGTATGTAAAATCTTTGAAGTGTCTCCCGTAAGCACGGAATTATGACGAATGTCGATCTAGACTGAAAAAGCCGCATGAAATCCGACATGACCATTCACACTGCGGTCACATTGCAAAACATCTGACATGGATCGGATTTAGTACCACATATGGAAGCGGCACAAATCAGAATTGAAAAGATCAGATTCCATGCGGTTTGTTTTGTTCACACTGTCATGACAAAAACAGATCTGAGTCACGTGAGCAAAAAAAACAAACAAAAAAAATCAGATTTGGGCCACATTTGCCTGCAGTGTGAACGTAGCCAAAGTAAGACGCAGACCGTCAACACACAATCATCTTCATTAAAAGTAGTAAGAAACTTATCTTTCCAGTGCTGATGCCGCGCGCTCTCCTATTGCGGTCTTTGATCTTCAAATGAGCTGATAATCCGATTTAAATATAGCGCGGGAATTGAAGATCGGATTTATATCCGTTTTGCGATGACACATTTATGTGGCCAAGTATAAATGGAAATGTTTTAACAAATCAGATAGATATCTGATCAGCGAAAATGCATGAAATGACCAGGTGTAAACAGGCCCTTTGAGCCAGGAGGAAACTGGTCAGAGAGGCTACAAAGAGGCCGACAGCAACTCTGAAGCAGTTGCAGGAATTTATGACAAAGAGTGGTCATTGTGTGCATGTGACAACAATATCACAAATTCTCCACAAATGTGGCTTATATGGGAGGATTGCAAGAAAAAAGCCACTCCTCAAGAAAGGCAACATGCAGTCATGACTGAGCTTTTTCAAAACGCACCTTGAAGATTCTGAGGCAGATGAGTCTAAAATTGAATTATTTGGCCTCAACACCAAACGATATGTCTGGCGGAAAACCAATACAGCTCATCATCTGCAGGGGAATTTAACAAAGAGTGGTCATTGTGTGCATGTGACAACAATATCACAAATTCTCCACAAATGTGGCTTATATGGGAGGATTGCAAGAAAAAAGCCACTCCTCAAGAAAGGCAACATGCAGTCATGACTGAGCTTTTTCAAAACGCACCTTGAAGATTCTGAGGCAGATGAGTCTAAAATTGAATTATTTGGCCTCAACACCAAACGATATGTCTGGCGGAAAACCAATACAGCTCATCATCCAAATAACACCATTCCTACAGGAAAGCATGGAGGTGGTAATATCCTGTTATGGGGGTGTTTCTTTGCAGCAGGGTCTGGAGCACTTGTCAGGATAGAAGGAAAAATGGATGGGGCAAAATACTGTCTCACTCTTGAGAAAAATCTGCTGCCCTCTGCCAGAAAGTTGTCAATGGGAAGAAGGTTTATCTTCCAACATGACAATGACCCAAAGCACACAGCAAAACTGACCACACAGTGGTTGAA